TAAATAATTTCTTTGCAGAAAGAAAAAAAACCAAACTAATCTGATTAAATTCAACCATCTTGTGGGTTTGCACTTTAAAAATTGCAGAAACATTTCAGGTTTGACATTTAATATCTATGAGTTTGGAAGCAGGCTGGTTCAGCTATTCCAATTGTTCCCCGTACCTCTCTGAAAGATGAGGTTGTCCCTGAGGATAACTGAAGTTCAACACTGCGGATAGGTGGTGTATCTATTGGAAAAAGTTGCACATGTACTGCGTGGTGTGATGTTGCTTGCTCTTCTCTTACTCTCGTTTTCTTTGTGTTGCTTCTGGGAGCTAAGTTTGGATTTTATTTACAATCACTTCCTCTGAGTTATTCATGACTGCCATTTGTTGGCCAGGGGGCCTTCCACATCTTTCTTTATCTTCTTCCATCCCTTATGCTCTGGCTTCCAAAATCCTGAAACTCAGGCTGCCTGGCCCTGAAGCCATTTCTATTTTAATTCTAATTTCTCTTCTACTAGCCCAGACGTCAGCCTGAGTTTGTCTTAAGTCTTCAGTTTCTCCCTTCAGGAAACAAGTCTATTTCTAGCCCATTGCTCTCACTTTCCCTGAATACTAAGAAAAACTAATCTAGTTCACAGCTGTATATGATCTGAAGCCCTTCCTCATTGACCAGCAATCTTTCATTGGTCCCTGATCTTTACATACTTGTTAAATTTCTGTTTTCATAATTCAATTTTTATGTGTTTTTTCTTACATTTCTTAGATTTTCTTGTGCACAAGATATTTCTTGTTATTTCTTATTTGGTATTTTATTGTTTGATGGTTATTCATACTATGTTTCTGTTTGGCGATATTTATTTAATAGGTTTTCCATAGGTGACTTATGAAATGTCCTAATTTCTTTACTGTACTTATTTACTTTAAATTAAGCACATGCATATTTCTAGAAAGTTAGTGCCCATTCTATAGCTTCATCACACTAGAAATTCTAGTCCAATTTTCCGTCTTCTGTATCTTTCATATTAGCTCTATTCTATTTCTCATCCTTCACAGAATAATTGTATTTAGGTTATTTTGCTGTATGTGATTTAATCATCTAAGCTGATTTCTTTATTTTCCCCCTGCACTGTTATTTTATTTACACGCTAAAGTGCAAAGGAACATGAGGGTTTTTTACTTAATCTGTTTCATGTGATGCAAAACACAAACTCTTAGCAACATTATCAGAAATTTCAGTTGAAAAGAAAACTGTCAGGCCTAGAAAGGCCTGAAAGGCCTAAAGCAAAATAACAAAAGCAAAAAATATAGGTCATATGGCCAGAATGTTTTTTGAGCGACGCTGTGGTAGAAATCTTGGCTTAGCCTGAATTGACCCATGCTTGGCTACGTCTCCCAACTGTATGTCTTTGCCATTTTATAAGGGCTGAATACTGATTGTTGAATGAAGTGGTAAAACTTCAGAGAAATCAAGGTTCACCAACACCACAGAATACACAGTAGGAGTTTCTACATTGACCTAGTTCTCATAAGGTCTGGCCACCACAGTCACTTTGTTGCTTTTCCTTCATTAGCCTCCTCTTTTAAGAAAGAGCCAGTCTCCTTCTCCTTTATTGTCTCTATACCCTGATATGAATTTATTTATTAGTCCCAGATCCCAGTTCACTGACTCATGTGGTCTCTCCTCATTTCGGCTCTGTGGCCGTGCTGCCATTCTTGCTGGTTTTTATGAAACTCCAGTAGATTCAGCTGTGGTGGGGTATTTCTCCTTACTGAAGCAGAGGGCCATTTATAAAACCGTAGAGAATGGATTGCATTAAAAATGTTTGAGCAGATTTTCACTGCAGAAATGACCAAAATGACTTGCTGGGAGTGGGAACAAACACAACCATGCTTAAAACTGTTAAAGAGTCATGGTTGATTTTTGATGTAGATTAACCCCAGTTGGCTGGCATGTTTTCTGTATTTGATATGGTTGGTTTAAACTGAGTTCTTAATAATTTTTAACACATTTTTAATAACATATTTTTTCCATTTTAAATCTGACTTGGGTGTACAGTTTCTGGTATAGCTTGGTTGGAAAAAATTCCAATACTTTCTTCTGCCATCATGTTAACTGCTCCTTGAGAAGACTTCTTATGCAAAACATGTAATATATATGCAGCTTGGCATGGTTTGAGTTTACTAGTCTGTCTACATTTTTTTTTTCTCTATGTAAGAAATATATCCTCCTTTGAAGTATTAAGTCTCTGTGCTTCTTACCTGTTTTCTTACTCTTCTTTTTCGATGAATTTAACAGTATCTTTTTGGAGACCTTAAAATAAACCAGACTGAAATTGCCCTTGATATAAGAAGGCACAATTCCTAATGAAGTCCATGGGAGTTATGTCAGCTTACTCAAAGACTGAATTTAACCTCTCCGTTTTATTGGGGAACTGGCACACAGTGTTTAGTTTTATATTTGCAACAGCCAAGACCTGGTTTTGGAGAGGAAAAGCTCTGTGAGGAGCTGTCACTAAGCATATGTTGTTTCAGCAGCACGTACTTCGGAAATTTCCATGCAATGTATAGCTTTCACATGAAGATCAGTTAGTGCACGTTGTGGATTTGTTTGGTTTTCAGTGATAATTTTGTTTGGTAAATCCTGATTCTTGCTCTTTCTCACAATATTTACAAGACAATTTAAATACTAGAGAGGATTTGTCAAACCATCTGGCATCCTCTGAAGTAAGAAACCCTGGCCCTGGAGGAAAGGCAAATGAGTAATGTAGGAGCAACTAGTTAGCAGAGCACTTGCATTCTACTTGTGTTACAGCACACACAAACCTGTAGTTTATGAAAGAGTAGGAGGTTACTTTTCAGAGATACTATTTTTCGTGAATTCTAGAGGGACATTTTTTTTTCGGTGTGGAAAATACATCCTGCAAAACAGGAAAAATATTGATTTTGTTCTTATTTTAGGGACCTTGATTTCAATGCTAAAATGGTTATCGAAGAAAACCTTTGCTTTGATCTTAGTGCTGTACAATGAGTATTAACATGAAGATGGTTTTCTCAGAAGCTGTGGTCATGTTTTTTCTTTTATCAGACAAGGTTTTGAGGGTAACACTGGCTGTTTGCTCTACTCTTAATATCAGATAGGCAAATGTCTAACAGTTTGCTCTCGGGAAGTTGGATGCTTTGCTGAATTTATACATTTTTGACAAGGCTGACTTTTCAAGCAAAGTAACTAATGTATGGAACTTACATAAATATCACAGAATCACAGAATGGTAGGGGTTGGAAGAAGGGACCTTTGGAGATCATCTAGTCCAACTCGCTTGCCAAAGCAGGTATCACTCTCATCTCTGTTGAAAGGTAGCCAATAATTGATTTGTAAAGATCATTCTTTTTTCGAAGTTGCTCACTGAGCCCAGTGAGGACATATAACGTGTCCCTTAAGCTTTGCATAGAGCCTTGTGTAGGTAAGTGCTTCAGTCTCGAAGGGAATGTCTGGGAAATCACACAGATTTGGTCTGAGCAATCTGCTGTGTGTGAGAGAACGGGAGAGAGAGCAAGGAGATCTGATAAGGGGATGTGAAATACAAAATCTTTGGAGATGATTTTTGGAAGCTGCCAACTTGAAGGAGCTGTTTTACTTTCAAGACTTACAAATTCGCAATGAGCACCTGTGCTGAGTTTCACACCACTGATTCTGTTGACTAAAATCATCTTCATTTGATGAGTTGACATGAAATAATAATCTAACATAGCAAGCAGTGGTGATGGTAGGTGGAGTGAGGAAACACAAGGCAGGCTTTGGGGAGAAAATGGGGAAGGGACACCAGAATTATTGAATTTGATTACCAGTAACTTTGAAAATTTTAGCTGATGAAGTCTCTGAGCAAGTGATATATTGAACAAGCCTCAGGAACACAGGAAATAAATTTTCAGGTGTTTTACGTGTTGGCATGTTTACAGGGGCATTTTGAATGGTTTTATGAAGGTCAACCAACTGTGCTGTTCATGTGTGATGGAAATTCCAGGGCATAGTATATTAATGCTTCACACTGCTGAGCATGCTCAGTAAGGAAATAAATGTATGATGTCAGTAAAGCAATTATCACTCAGATTTAAAATTGGCTAACTTATAGGTCTTAAATAAATGTACATAGGGAATACTTGTCCAAATACAGCATTTTTTGTGAGGTCCTACAGGGATCCATATGCTTTTATAGAGCGGATAGGAGTGATGACATTTGCTTTGGCAGCAATCTAGCTTGGTTGGCAATCTAAGCTTGTTTAAAAATGGGCATTTTAATATAGGAAAACTACAGGTAACATACGAAATGAGTGTTTGTACTTCACAGACCAGTAGTTGTGAAAGCAATTTTGCTGTTGGAGTGAAGATACAGCTGAACATAACTTGCCACACCGAGGCAGTGACTGAGAGATGTAATAGTGCTTGGGCTTATGCACCCTTCAACGTTAGATAGGGACAAAATTGTAGATATATTACACTTGATTTTAGCATTTGTGATGTTGTTACTAGAACTGGGTGCCAGTCTGGAGCCCAGGTATTGTTAAAGGCCGCTGACGAATTAGAAGGGATTCAGAGGAGTTTCAAAAATGCTTAGAAAATCTGCCTTACATTTAGGAACTGGTTTATCCAAGATAACTTCAGGGTTTTGCTGAAGATCAACAAGTATCTTTATGAGGCGAGAGGGTAATGGGATCCAGCTGTTCACGTACACAGTAAAAATAAGGAGGAGGTAGGTATGGGGAGAACCACTGTTGTTGTGACCTGTTCACTTCTAATCAGCCATAACTAGGGTGTCCTGGTCAGGCCAATTCCACTACCTAGAACTGCAAATATTTTTATTGGCTCGTGTGGCTGTCGTGCTTGCCCACTAATAAGACAGATTTAACTTGGCTAATTGTAGCTGAAAGGAAAAAATGAGTTTCTGTCTTGATGCTGTCCATAACTTCATTTTAGAACCTTAGCATTCTAAATAATTTCTTCCCTCTTTTTTCATAGGGCACCAATGCCTCTGCTCTGGAAAAAGACATTGGCCCAGAGCAGTTTCCAATCAATGAACACTACTTTGGATTGGTCAATGTAAGTACCATTTTCAGTAGGCAAACCAAATACAGAACCCTGGCTTTAACGTTACTTGAACTTTGGTTTCCTTGGTTTTTTGTTTTGTTTTGTTTTTTTCTTTCACCCCCAGTCCTGCTCTAAGGTAGGATTTTCTTTTTCTTTTTGAAAAAGTGCTGTTCATGTTCCAGTTTCAGGCAAAGTGGGTTGCAAAGCTGTATCAGATGTTTGAAGATAGCTTCCTACGCCCCCAGAGAAAACGGTTACTGTTCTATGAATGTTTCCAGGAATTAGAACTTACACTTCAATGAAGTTAAAAGTCTATTTTAGCTATGAAATGTGAGGGAGGAAATGGTGGAAGTATGGACAAGTATACAGCAGGTACAGCAATTTGCACTGAGGACTCTCTTAGGAGGAGCTTTTTTATCTAAGAAAAGAATGAGTGAGAAGGCAGTTTAATCACTTGTTATTCCCATATAAATAAAACAGATATAGTAATTCTTTCCATTGAAAACATCAGTCATTCTGCCACTGAGCAGTAAGATAGAGCCCAGCAAGAGTGTATTAATATGTGGAAAGAAGCTTAACGAGATCCACTACAATAAATATATCTCTTGCAAGTGGAAACTTTTACTTTGTATCCTGGTTAATTTAGAACACCATAGGGTTTTTTTCTGTGAATTGTCAGGGGTGGGTGTGGAAATATACTCCTACAGCAGCTGCATGGCAAAATAACTGGTATGTGACAGGGGCACAGAAGCCAGAAGTTGAACGAAGCAACTAGTTTTATTGTGATGCACAGGGATTAAGATTGTTTTTAATTTTACATGGCAGTTTGGGAACACCTGCTACTGCAACTCCGTGCTGCAGGCATTGTATTTTTGCCGGCCGTTTCGGGAAAATGTATTATCATACAAGGCCCAACAGAAAAAGAAGGAAAATCTCTTGACGTGCCTGGCAGATCTTTTCCACAGTATCGCTACTCAGAAGAAGAAAGTTGGAGTCATTCCACCAAAGAAGTTCATATCAAGGTTACGAAAAGAGAACGGTAAGTGTAAAACTGGAATCCTCTTAGACTTTCATACATCGATCAGGAAAGTATAAATAAGTTCTGGGCAATGTGGTCGTATTAATCAGATGTTCAGGTTAGAGTTGTAAATTGCTTTTAGTACTTTTGGGGGTTTAGATATTAATATTTTAGTATCCGTGTACATAATATTATGCTTGAAATAACTGTACCAGGTTTCATAAGTTCCCAGAAGTGCATGAATTAATGATGTTTTCAGAGGACGGTGGGACAGACCACACTGCACAGTGAGCTGGGGCTGGGAACAGGGCGAGACGCTGCTGTAATTTTTTAGTTATTTTTTTGTGGGGTATGGCAGAGAGAAACATTGAGGGAGATTGGCAGTATAGAAACTGTGTGACCTAGGAAAGCTACAGCCACCACTAGTCCAAGCCACCCTGGAGGACAGGTAACTGTATGTACGTGGGGGCGTTCAGTGGACCCCACACCAACTGCTGCTCTTGTTCTTAGAAGCAGTGGGCACAGGCTTACTTTGTGAAGCATCAGGCCTTTTTTGAGCATTAGCTTGGCAACAACGTGTGCCTAATCTTGTAGTAGTTCTGTCTAAGGGATATGAAGAACATCTTGAAATAAGGAAACCTGCCACACAGCTCCATTTTGGCCTGGGTTCATATCAGTGTGGGTGGTATGCTTAGAAACAGGGGAGCTCTGAATGAAGAGACAAAGTACCAGTGAAACACCTGGAAGAAATTGCTTCCTGGTGACAGCATATAAATGTGCAGACTGTTCATTCCAGGGCATGCGTTTGAAAGCGTGACAAAGTTAGCTCTGAGTCAGCTAGTGATAAATGCCCCCACACTGCTGGGGATCACTTTTAGGGATTGGATCTTATGTTTTCAGCTTTTTTAAATTAGGGCCAGACTCGGTGTGTATTAACCTGCTTATGTGTCCAGGCTAGACACTGCAAAGCCAAAGGATCTGTGCAATATTTTCTGAGGAAATCCACATGGGCTTTTTCGGGAGCAGAAGAATAAAAATACACATTTCTTTGGGAAAACAGATTCTTTTTTCTTCAACTCCATCCCATGTCTTCACTTTCCACAGCCATGTAAAAAGACATGTAATATGGTGCTTAGGGACATGGTTTAGTGGTGGTTTTGGCAGTGTTAGGTTGATGGTTGGACTCGATGATCTTAAAGGTCTTTCCCAACCTAAATGATTCTGTGATTCTGTGTGTCTTACCATCCAAACTCTGTGATGCTCCTAAGTGTCTGAGGGACTTGGAATATACTGGTGGGAGTCACTGCTGCCTAAAGTTAGACATCTAGTCTAAGGAATTAATTTGGGATGAGTCACCCTCTTGCTTTCTTCATTGACTGTAGTGGGAGCCTACACAACCAGCTCCAAAGGAAAGCGTAACCTTTCAGGCAGCTAAACTTAGATGATATGAAGCTTTCCCCCAAAGTAGCTTCCCTGAAGCCAGTGTGACTGCAAAATTGGTCTTCTTTGGCACGATTCCAAATACTGTGCTAAACAAGGGCCAGTATATGTATTTGGAAATAAATAATAAATTTAGTTTGCTTTCCTGAAGGAAAGGATATGCTCAGCTTTAGAAATCTCTACTCTCTTCTTCACAGATCTCTTTGACAACTACATGCAGCAGGACGCACATGAGTTTTTAAATTACCTGCTCAACACCATCGCAGACATCTTGCAGGAGGAGAAGAAACAGGAAAAGCAAAATGGGAAACTGAAAAACGGCAACATGAACGAAGCTGAAGAGAACAACAAACAAGAACTCACCTGGGTGCATGAGATTTTTCAGGGAACACTGACTAACGAAACTAGATGTTTGAACTGTGAAACCGTAAGCATTGAGAGAGCTTTTTTTTTTTTTTTGGTTGTTGCCCATTAATAGATAGATACATTTTATATATATAAATATATGAATCTTTTCAGACATCTGAGAATTGTGGATATTCCTGTAGACTTTACTTCTTGAAGTGAGTATATTCTTTTCTAAAAATTTATTTTTCTAAGCATTACTTGGCTAACCTGTGCCAAGTTTTGCTGTCCTAATGCATACCTCTACAGTTGAAACCTTTTCAAATTAATCAATACCCTTCCTTATTATGGTAGCTTTGGGAGAAGATATTTATATCACTATTACATGATATATGTGAAATGTTAAGATGAATTTGTCCTAAGAATGTGACTGGCATATTGAGGGTTTGTTATTAACAAACCATATATTTTCTTTTATCTCCCTAATATTTTCTCGAGGATGCTGCTAGTTTGAAGTCTCTTACGTTTGAAGCATAAGTAAAAATTACTTTTAATTAGGAAACCTGATAAGTCTCCTGTCAAGTTCTGTGGTTTTCAATCACATACTCCTACTTCAAGGGAAAAGAAATTATAATAATAATTTAAAAAGTTTCTCTCTGTGAGGTTGCTATGTTGAAAGAGTAACACAGACAGAAAAAAAATCTGTTTTGGCAAGAACAGTGGCACTGACTTTCCAAAAAGGTTGGAATTAACCTCACCTAACCTTTGCTTTGTAAAAGGTAGGTGTCAAGGATGAACTAGTTTTTTCTCAGCTCCTTCTGTAGATGATGGATGTTGCAAAGAGCTCCTGCAGGAAGCTCTCGCCATCCAACTCTCAGCTGTTTCATGAAAAAGAAAGTTTTTAGCAGTATCAGGTATTCTGCTCCATAAGGCTCCACGGTGCTACTGAGCTGTTGCAGTTGTTGGTGCAGCAATGCTGTGAGCTGGGCCAGCAAAGTGATCTGGCCTAAGAATAATGTGCTTTGAACTCAGAGCAGTACTACCACCAAGGCCTTCCTCTAAAGAAAATGCAGCTTTAGATTATCTGCATTAAGAGGGGAGAAGGTGCCCAGAGAAGGTACCTTCAGACAGCAAGCTGAGGTTACATACCTAACTTTAGAGAGTTGAAGTTAGCTGGGATAAACCCTACCCATGCTCTACCATATGAATAAAAGAACATAGTCCAATATTTCTAATCATAAAGAATAGTTCTGCACTCCAAGAAAATATGACTTCTCCAGGAACTTGGGTCGGGGGTGAGGGGAAGAGATACAGTGATAGTCAACATGAAAAAGGTGTTGGACCAAGTTTGGCATAAGCTTATATAAGTGAAAACAAAAGAGAGACGTTGAAAATTAATTCTTTAATCTGTTTCCATTATAAAAACAGAAGTAATAACAGCTACTTAAAATAATGAAAGGGTAACATGATTTTTCAACTGGCAAGCATCTCTAAATGGTTGTGGCCTAATTCTAAATTAATATCCAGTATTTACTCAGACAAACCATACTGAAGTCAGGATGTGTCCTTGGGTAACAGCAAAACAGCATAATATCCTGTTTGTAATTCAAAGTGACCAAGCTTTATGGAAAAAATAGCACTAGGTATTGCAGCTGTAGGAATACTTGTCTGTAGCTTCCTGTGAATGCAAAAATACTGTTTAGTACTCAGGATACTTTTTCCAGTTTGTTTTTTTTGCATTATTTTATCTTGAAATCTTTGGGAGATAGTAAAATGCATTAAAAGATGTTCCTTTGCTAAAATATACCTATGTAGTGCATGAAAAATCATTTGGATTCCAGCAGTTCTTATTCTCCTTTACAAAGAGTGCAGTTTGAATCTGGTTTTCCAGCTGCCTTTAGTTTGGGTCTGTATTATTCCAGCTCCAACTAACTCATCTTCTGCTTTCAGTAAATATTTGATGTGCTGAAATCAATAACAAAATTCTGAGCTGCTTTGTGGTATTCAGATGAAACGCTATACTTGCCAAAGACTTTTCCAAGTATTTAAGCTCTTTCTTGATATGCAGTGAACAGAATTGTAGTTCCAGCCGTAGAGACACAATGTTCTCTGAAGCTTTGTTGCTCCATCTTTCAAATTCTAGCTGTATGTTTATACTGCAGTTGATTGGTGCCAGTTTTGTGGTTTCCTGTCCCTTGTGGGTCGAATCATGTCTCAGGGAGGATTTTGGTTTGAAGAACTGCCGTTCATTTTAATTGGGTGCACGTTATGCCTCTGTACCTCTCTGATACTATCAAAATTCATCCTGCTAAAAGTGTTTGTCTGGACTGATAAGGGCTGTATTCACCGTGTTTATGGGATCCCTGACGTAACGCAGAGATGAGATGGAAGTGGCACATAAATTTGACATCCATAGAATTGCAGAAATGTGAGCACAAGGGACGTGTATCAGAACGTGGCTTCAACCCCTCACTGAAGTTCTTGATTTGAAATACAGGACAGGACAGTGATCCTATCATCTGGTTTTGTTATTCTAAGAAAATGCAGTCATAGGAGGCAAAACACAGAGTTTTCATACAGCATTTTATAAACAGAATTGATTGTTATGAATATGACTAAACTCACGTGCAGTAAGTAGTTTTGCAGTCTTCTTGACTCGGTTACAATAGTTATCCATTTGGATAACTTTTTTTTTTTTTAACTTCATCTTCAAGATTAAACACTAAATGAAAAATCATTTTCAAAGGAAAAATCAAGATCGGTCATTCTGAAATAGTTTGAGGTTACTGTTTTAAAATAAAAACTCTTCATTAGATTTTTTTTTTCCTCCTCTTGTTCCATCTAAAAAGATTTGCAAAATTGAAATGATTTTGCCATTATCCCTTTTGCCATTATCACTTTGCCATTTTTACATTTAACCTTTTAATTTTTTAATCAAAATTATTTACCAGGAACAATATTCAATAGGGAACTGCAGCTGTGTCAATCAGAAATATAAAGCCAGTCTTTTGAATGCTCACTGTAGAGAAAACATAACAGGGTTAAATATGACATTTCTTGACAGATGCTTATTTGGAAAATATCTTAATTGCATCCATAATAGTGGAAATAATTACCTAGGGCATAAACAGTGATTATATACTGTAATGCATTATACAAAGGGTAAAGAAAATTCCAGTAAAATAAGAAACTAGGCTTTGTATGTGACGAGAGAACATGTGTAATGCACCAATCACAGCTAATACAGGGGATGATGGTCCTCCCTTAATGAACAGTAGTCTGTGGTCACGGGCCCATGGTTGGTAGCCTTGGATAAGTGGAACAGATGGAAGTTAAATTATATGAAAGCTGGATTGGTAGAGTTACTAATAAATGTAGTCACGCTGAACTAGAAAAAAATTTAAAAGCACTGAAATGAATTATTTTTGTGTAATTTATTTCTACAGAAACTGCTCTATCTTCAGCATTTGCACATAGATAAAACCAGCATTTGGATGTATGGCATTTTACTAAGTCTCTGTTTTACATGTATATTTTTTACAACAGGTTAGTAGCAAAGATGAAGATTTTCTTGACCTTTCTGTTGATGTGGAGCAGAACACATCAATTACACACTGTCTAAGGTAAATGAATGCATCTCTTTGGCAGATAGCTCTGTCTGACTTTGCTAAATTTTCCAAGTCTAATAAGTACAGAAAAGAGAAGTCAAATAACATTGGGTTTTGAGCTTTTCTAAAAACAGAAGAAAAAGACTGTAAACTGGATGTTTCCTCTAATGACAAAATATACACCAATGCAGATTGTTTTACTCACTTTTGCTTTCAATGTATGCATTTGAAAGAAAAAAAATAATCTCTTGGGCAAAATAATTGATTGCCTTGTCATCTGGAAGAATTGCTGCAGAATAATAATTGGCTTCAAAGGGATTTAAGTGTGCTTATCTTTAAGCTTCTACTCAAGTGCTTTGTTGATTAGGACTTATGTGCATATTAAAAGTTAAGTGTGTGCTTTGCAGAATCAGTGCTAGAGTCCCTAGAGGGCATAAGATTTCAAAAATCTACTTTTCTGCCATAAAAGTTTCTTATTCTGTGTCTCATTCTAAAATAATGGGGAGAAGTCTTTTATTCTAAGTTTCAGTTCTGCTCCTAGTACACTCTTAACTATAAAGATCAAACAGTTTTCAGACTTGCATGGATGATTATTCTGAGAGATTTAAAATATCTGGAGTTTTGTCATTGGTACAATAAGCCAATACCTAGATTTAAGACAGTATGTTGCAGCTCTAAGGTGATGATTATCAATTGGTCAAATTACTCTTTCAAGTTCCAGGTACCAAGTTTGAAATTGCATTTAACAGTTATTCTGGAATGCCTAGGAAGGGTCACCTGGCATCTCACCCCAAGCTGAGATACAGAAAGGGAAAGCATATGAGGTACTAACCATTTCCTGAGTCAGAAAGCAGTGATTTCTCCATGGTTACCATGACTGTACTAAGCAACTTCAGTTACATTTTAAAGTGCTGGATCCAGTAAGCATTTTCCTTCTTAGCTTCTGTTCCATTGTAGGATACCGTAGCAGTCCTTAGCCCTCAAGTAGCTTTGGAAAGGAGTGCATTACTTTCTTTTTTTCCCCATTGTCTCTGTCTGTTCATGGTCACCAATAGTCAAACCAGTAATGGTGCTACAGGCTTTTGTTTGCTCCCTTTTAAGTTCTTCACTGCAGCCGCTATTTTGAACTTGTTTTTGTCAGCATCACTTACTCTTCCCTGTGGTGTTCAAAGTCAAGTTGAAATCACACTGACATGCAAGGAGGCTGAAGTGTGCATCTTCTGGGATCCTTTCTGCCCTGAGTTGTTGTTTGGTTCTGTGATGCAGTAATAAGATTGAGCACTGACTTTTTCTTACAGCTTATTCTGGTGAACTTATTAGAAACTGCTGTTGTTACCATCTGTCCTTCAACTTTCTCCAATTTTTTAATTTAATTTCTTAGTTGTTAAGCTTCCTGGAAATGTTTTGTTTGTAAAGGCCATTTATGCAAAGAGACAGAGTGCTTCAGTAAAAAAAAAACCACTCGCATTTCTACTACTGGACAGCCAGTGTCTGTAGCTTACGATGTAGAAGATCTGCATCTGCACTACTGCAACCACCAGGTGAATGGGGGAGTTGAAAGGGACCCCAAGAGGGTTGCCCATAACTCCGCCTCAGACAGGATGCTTGTCCAACCTGTTCCAAAAGATCTTTTAGCAGCAGTAGCTCAATTGCCTATCCCAGTCCTTCCTGTTCTTACCACTAACAAGTTTTCCCCACTGTGTAACATGAATCTTCCTTGTTTCAGTTGAAGCCCATTTCTACTTGCCCTGTGTACTCTGGACATAAGCCAGGGGTTGCTCTCCTTCCTCTTAACAGCAGCCTTTTACATACAGGAGGAATGGCATCACTTTCTTTTAAAGTTGAACAGCCTAAGGTCTTTCAACCTTTCCTTCACAGGCTATCTTCTCTAGATCTCTGCTCATGTTCATTACCCTGCGGCCTTCTCTCCAATTGAACCTCTCTCCAACTCTTATCTTTCTTGAAGTGCAATTTCCTAAAATTAGGTACAATATTCCAGCTGAGATCTACACAACCCTTAGAAGAATGGATGCTCCAAAAGCGTGTTTGTATATCCCAGTATAGTACCTGCCTTTACTCCAGCAGAATGACAGGCATTGTTCCTTTTGGAAATAAAGGGAAGAAGAATCCCCGTTTTTCTTTTCTTGGGGTGGGAGGTTTACAGATTAAACAGGAAGAGAGTCATCACCTACCATCTATTCTCTATTCTGAATGTCTTGTACACTAGTAGCACGTCTAGTTCTGTTGAGAAAACAAATATCCAGTTAGAATATAGATTTCCTCTCATTGTTCTATGGTATTATGCATCATTAAACAAAGTGTAAGTGCTTTTGTGATTTCGCCAAGTTATTAAGTTATTACTCTTTTTGGAACCTTTGCTGTTTCCTTTTTTTTTTTTTCTAACAACTGCTTTGCTGTGTACAGCTTTGAAAAAGTAAGTTAAAGAATATCTGTGCAAGATAACATTTAAGTAGAATTAATTTCTTTGCCACTACAGACAAATGTTCTTTTTAGTTATTTTTGTAGCTTTTCAAATTGAAAAGGTCCTTGTGTACATAAGAGGTCCAAAGAATACAAGCCTCTGGCGTAGTCTAACTCCACAGGGTAGACTATAGGACCTGAAGCAATCGAAGTCTAATAACAAATATAGTACATATCCATTATTTTTATTTCCACTAGGAGTTGCAAAGTTTACCAGTCCATTTGATCCTGACTTTTAACTAGTGCTCTGCCTGTGCTTTTTCATTCCACTAAGAATTCTCTCATCTCTTAAAACAGAATATTTGTTTTATTTATACACATAAACAATAGAAGGTATCTTTCACGTTATAGCATAAAGGCTGTAGAGACATGGACTGTGGAAGCACAGTCAATGATAAATTAGTGTACCTTCAGCAGGTGTATTTAAAAATTCTGTTAAAATACCTTATAAATAGAATGCAAATTGGCCTGTTAATGGAATAGGAAATTAGCTCTGCAGGTATAAAGAGAAATTCCTCAAGCCTATAGCTCTTGTATATGCAGACTTTGTGTGAACTGCAGTCAATGATCTGTTATTTTTAACTGTTCAACATCTATTAGACATGCCATGCTCAAAACTCTCAATTGCTGAAACAGCTACTGAAGCTGCAGTTTTAAAGGGCAGCAAAGGCATCTAATTCTCACCCACAGACCTCCCTTCCCCCAAGGGAAGAGTTATTGCATATAAACACGCCACCAGTTTTGTTCCTGGTGCAAAAAAGGAATTAATATGTGTTGAATAAGTAAATTAGTAGTGTTTATAAATGCTATGACCATGCCTTACCTGCTTTGGTAGAACAGGGTAACAGTCTGTCAGGTGGAAGTAGAAGACAAAGGAACAAAAGAACAGTCAGGGACATGTAAGGGAATGTCCCTCAGCTTATCAAGTATTTGCATATTTCTCCAGCTTTCATAGACGTCGTTCCCATAGCAGTCAACTTACCATTTAAAATGTTAAATATTACTGGTTTCAGAAGAATTAATACATTTTAGAAGGAATTCAGAAACTCTTTAAGACTCATTCATTTTTATGGAAGGCTTGGCATAGAACAAACTGGTATCTATCAAATTTCTACCATCTGTACATGTTCCTTTATGTTAGAAAAAATATTATTTCTGTTGCTTCACCTTGAGGAGGGAAGGAAACTAATAAATTCCATAAGTTTGTTTGTGGATTTTTTTTAAGTTGAGACTTTAGGCTTTGAAAATAAACATCAGACTCTTTCCTTAACAGAAGACCTAAAATTTACACAAGGACGTTCTACTGAATCTTGCAGCATTCCCCACATATATAACCCACCTCTAAACTTTTCTAATGTTTCATCTCTTCTCTTATGAGTCCCTGAAAGGTTACCATGGGGTTTTTGTCTTTAAATTCAAATGTGAAATCAGATATTTGAGATCAACGTTTACCACCGAAGCAAATTGTTTCCAGTGATCATGCTTTATTTTGATTTTAGTTAAAAAACTATTCTTACGATCAAAGTTTTGTTGCAACTTACCTTTTAAGAGATGCATTTTGTCCTAAATTTCAGCACTTTCTGATCAAATTGTGTAAAGAAAAACACCTAGTAAAAGCTTTCTCAGTATAAATATTATTCAGTCTTATGAAGTGCCTCTCTGGCATGTTCTATCAACCTTAAAGAACTTAAAACTTGAAAATGGAAAATCCTCCCCTTTTATGAAGTTATGTAAATACGTTCTAATACTTATGCCCTGGCAATCTATATCATCTTCAGCTCTCCCAGCTATCCCTGTGGTGATGATGCCAGGTAGAAATAATTGTCCAGAATCTTCCCTTTGCTTTTGCCTTTGTAAGATGATTGCCTTTGTAAGTTTATTGGGTCTGAATGCATCTGAATTTGTTTGGAGTTCAGAAGCCTATTAAGTACAATGTAGGGGCAATTAACGGGACTGTTCTTACTTCAGATATATCTATTTAAGGCCCAGAGTCACAAGAAAACCTGTGTGCTTAAGCCGGAAGACACGTGCTTATATCTGCTTTTCCAGTTCTCAAAACACCTGCTCAGCTGCAATGTAACTCTAGAGGTGACAAAAAATTACTGTCATTTTTTTTACAGTTAAGTTTTTTTAGGTACCTACAAGTCTGTTCCAAAGCACATCAGCACTGTGACTTCCAACAAATTTTCTGTGAACTGACACTATCAAATCAACCTTCCTCTGTCTCTCACTTCAAAAGCTCAGTCCAGAAACATTTCCAAGTGTATTTACTTGAGAAGATTTACAAAATCTTCTGTACTAGCTAGCACTTTCCTTTTTAGACAGCAAGAAGGTATAATGAAATCACTGCTGGGTGACAGTTCATGAGGTTAGAGGATGCAGAAAACTGGGTTCAATTTATTTCTTCTGTGTAAGAGGATTCAAACCTGTCTAACAGAAGAACAGCACAAATTTGAGCTATTTGAGGATGACAGAAGTGCACTTGAAGCTGTTCCTTTCTGCAAATAATTTTAAAAGGGACTGGTTGGATTGAGAGTCTACACCCAAGTCTAGGAAGCCCCTTGACATGTAAGAGACCAGGAAATAAGTCCCATTTTGAGACACCTGACCCTCCACCTGTATCCTATGAAGGTCCTCACCTCCTAATGCAGGGCTGTCATAGCAGCCAGAAACAATAAGTCCCTTTGCAAACCCCATGGAGTTGCTTTAGGTGTTTTAGGAAACTGGACTCAGAGGAGAGAGGATTTCATTGTGTGTGTCTTTTTAGGGTTCCGGTTCATCAGCCCAAGTGGGGCAAAAGCATTAAGATCTTTTAAGAACTGATAATTTTATTTATTTGCAGAGACTTCAGTAACACAGAGACATTATGTAGTGAACAGAAATACTACTGTGAAACTTGCTGCAGTAAACAAGAGGCACAGAAAAGGTAAGCAAAGAGCAGGCTATTTCTCCGTGTCCTGGGCTTTGACAAACCTCCCCCTTGATATTTATTGTGTTTAGATACCTAGAAGCCTTACACCCCGATTGCATTCTCTGTGTGGGCCAGAGAACCTCCAGACAGATTCAAAGCTAGCATGGGTCTTAATCTAGAAGCTACTGCTAGTTGACTACTGCTACTTACAAAGTGCTTTTATGACACAAATGTTTACTCATTAAGGAAGACAGAATGGCTTTGAACTGGCCAGGTCTTTACCATGTGCATTCTAACGCTTTCACAGGATGAGAGTAAAAAAACTGCCAATGATTCTTGCCTTACACCTCAAGAGATTCAAGTACATGGAGCAATTGCACAGATACACCAAGCTCTCTTACCGTGTGGTATTTCCTCTGGAGTTACGTCTCTTCAACACATCTGGCGACGCCGTCAACTTGGATCGGATGTACGACTTGGTAGCTGTTGTTGTTCACTGTGGGAGGTGAGATACTTTCAGGTACATCTCGAGATATTGCCAGGCATTTCCCAAGGGCAGAGGCATCCCTGACAAAACACGGGGAGGGTGGGAAGGAGGACATAAACCCTGCTGCTGCACCAACTTACCTGTGTCTTGCCTGAATCTCTTGGCCACCCTTCCTCATAGTAAATCTGTACGTGTTTAAAAAACAGCACCTCAGGCCTAACCAAAAGTCACAAAATTGGCTTAAAGCTGTCTCATTCCTCATCAGCCCCCGTAGAGAGCTTGGGAGCCAGGACACTGTGAGGGCCAGATGTTGCTAGCATTTAGGCCTTACAACAGGTCACCTTGGTCTCCTGTCAAGGCAGTGAAAGTGATAGCTTTAATAAAGCTTCTCACATATGGGGTGATGTCAAATATGAAACAAACAGAAAAATCCTTAGTTCTCTAGGAATAGGACTTGTTCTCCCTCTTCTCAAAGCCTGTATATAACAAAATATTCCCTGTTGATACCCAACAATTTGCCCCCTTAAATTTAGTTCATAACATTTTTAAAATATTTGCAGTAGTTGATGCCTGCCATGAGCAAATTGTTAATTGTTCTATAGGTTAATTTGCAAATGGTCACGGCACAGATGAAAACAACACATTTAGCTTTCAGTTGATGAAATCTTTGCAACAAGTCAGTAAAAAGGTGAAAGGAATAAATGTCTACTGTACCACCAGGGGTGGGTTTACTATGTTCTTTGTAACATTTAGTTAAAATTCAATCTGCTTCCATATAGAAATGTGACTTATCAAAGTAGACTCAATAGCATCTTCTAATATTTTGGGGTTTGTTTTGCTTTCTAGTGGACCGAATCGGGGGCATTATATTACTATTGTGAAAAGTCACGGATTTTGGCTCTTGTTTGATGATGACATTGTAGAGGTCAGTATGCCAAAGGTCATGAGCACAACCTTTATGTTTATGTTTTCTATTTGGGGTTAAAAATTCTGTTCCAGATCTGGGTATAGATTACTAGTCTGCAAAGCCACGGTTTGGTTGCAATGTGACATTTAGCTCAACTCTGTTAAAAGGTAAGATTGCAAACAAAATTATTAATCCTGGAGTTCTTCCTCTGTCAATGTCAGAGGGCATGTTTTATTTCAGAGCAACATCAAACGTTTTTAATATCAGACTTCAAGGGTTTAATTTGGAATGTTTTCTATATCTAATAAAATCAATTTAATTCATTAAACCCTAAAATATCCAGGAGCTATGTTGCAATCCTTGGCAATATCACTTGGCAAAATTGGACTGGGGAAAGCTAGAATGGCTGCAGAATTTTAATTTTTGAACAACTGGAAAGTTACAAGAAAGTCTGGATTCTTTAGTCGATCTGGGTTTGTCTGAATGTAAATTAGAGTGTGATCTAGCCCACAGCTATTACAGATTCTGTCTAAGAAAGTTACAAGAAAGTCTGGATTCTTTAGTCAATCTGGGTTTGTCTGAATGTAAATTAGGATCTAGCCCTCAGCTATTACAGATTCTGTCTAAGCCATTCTGCAGTTCATTCCTAAGCAAAGCCATTATGTCATTGTGGCACCTTGGCAAAATTGAGGTCTTGAGTCTGATTTCCCAGGAGTAAATCCAATGAAGGAAAGCAAGCTCTGTGACACTGGATGGGGCATGTCTTGAGAAGGATTTCTGGAAATTTCAGAAAGATGGGATCACATGGCTACATTGATGTGTTTTAACCATGTTCAGTACTGCATTCCAAACAGTCTCCCTCTTACTGGAAAAAGCCTAATTCAGTTAAGTTCACTGAGACAAACTTTCCTATTGACTTCCACAAGTGAGACCAGTAGGGCTTAGTCCCTGAACTTAGTCCCTTTCGCTGCTTAAATTGCAAACAGGATTTGCTAATTGCTACCCTGAAACAAATAACTGAATTTGTCTCTCGTGTTTATATAGTCATTTCATCCATGTTTGCCATTTCTCTTACCTAACAGCACATTAAATGTTTTTTTACTTATTTTGCAGAAAATAGATGCTCAAGCTATTGAAGAATTCTATGGTCTGACCTCTGATATATCAAAAAATTCAGAGTCTGGCTACATTTTATTCTATCAGTCAAGGGAGTGACTTGGCAAACTACGACAATGGCGCACAACGATGCTGCACGCGAAAGAAGGTGACGGCCCCCCCTTAGCTGACTTTTACCCAGACCACATCTTGTATGGCTGAACAACGACACACTCTGTCTCCTATTAAATGGTCTACGTGATATTGGCTATAACCGTCCATTTTTGACATCAAGAACTTTGTTTTGGAGGGGGGGGAAGGGAGTTGTTTGTAGTTTTTAAGTCTGATTGAAGAGTTAATTGCAGTCAGATTTTAGTGGAATTTATATGGACTAACATTTACAGATAATAAGATTTGGATGTCAACTGTTAAAACCAATCCAGATAGAGTAGTATTTTATATGGAAGTGTTCATTGCATTTAGGGCAAAATTGTTTAAAACTTTCTAAATGGCTTTGGGGTGTGTTGATTTACAAAGCATTCCTTTAAATACACCCTGACATATACTTACCCATTTTAAGTGTAAGGGAAAAAAATCTGTTTCACAATGACTGGAACTGTGGTTCTATAGGGGACTTTTTTACATGTTATTCTCTGCTGCAAAAATCTTCCAAAATCATTTAAGCTTTGGGTTGTTAAAAACTTTCAGTGTGTAACCTCAGGCCTAAAATTCACATAGAGGGGTTTAAATTATAGCGGATCTAAGTAATTCTGTATTTCCAGTCACTTTGTTTATCATGAGATAGTACAGATGTGGTGAGATTTCAGAACTTACAGAGCACTGGAATAAAGGGAGCGAGATGATACATACGACACAGGGATAAATTACATTTCTAGAGACTGAGCTTATCTTTCCATTAAAACGATATCAGAGGTAGTTTACTTACTTGAGTTTGGGGAGATTTCAATGCTGCTCGTGTAGAACATATCCATGGGACTGAAATTACACAGTCCAGTTAAATAAGTGTTGTTCTTACAATGCATAAAACATGGCTTGATACTGCAGTTTTCTGAATGTCCATAGGTCCCATTTTCATTTCTGAAGACAGAGTCCATTTCTTAGCAACATAACATGATGTGTAACAACCATTAGTCTACACAGGCTGTCACATATATATCATCTCTAACATTGTGGCCGTGTTTGACAGCATTTGGGTCACCACAGGAATGGATAGGGCTCTGGAGTGTCTTATTTAAGAAAAAAAAAAAAAGCTTAGTTTGTAATTCTGCTGGGTGAAATGGGCTGGCACTAGTCATGCACTGACTAACAAAACTGCTGAGCTCACATACTAGAATTTGGAAAAGAATGAATGTAGAGGAAAGTATCAATAGGGTATGAGAAGGGATCGATAGCAGGTGAGGCAGGGGTAGCCCTGGGTAACTACCTTGGTTGGACACTGTCACTCCATCCTACAATTCTTGAACGTCAGTATCCAAATTCCTGTTTCAATGAAGTCAACGGCAAAACCACTCTTTCTGTCTTCAAGGGGACTGACAGTTGGTTCTAGTATTTACAAAGAAATATTCTCATCTCACAAAATGTATTTCTACCTGTATTTTATTCACTCTCATTTAGTATTTATTAGACAATGTTGCTTTTGGACCTCCTTTTCTCTAAAAAGCCTGCCTGACACTTTATGGCCAACACTCCATTTCAAGAAAAGGCTTTTGAAGTGCAGCTAAATCTTCTATTTTAGTCTTCTGTAGGAAAGAGGATAACCTTTTTCATTGTAATCTACTGTGAATGTGAAATAACTTTTGTTAAATAATGATGAAAATGAAGTACTAGCTTCCACTGTAACATCAACTGAAGGTCAATTGGATTTATCCATGGCCATTTTGCAAACTAAGAAAATGTAGCACTTTACACCAAAAGAGAAACAGAAATGGACTTTTCATCTAACATTATTTGTGATTTATCCAGTTATTATACCAATACAAGAAAACAGACGTAGAATGTAACCTTAGAGTATTTACTTGGGTGAAAAACAGTAGTGAGCTACAGAGATCACTCACAGGAATGAAGGCTGGTGTGCAGGCTCAAGACTCATAATTGGGATGCAGCTCTGGTTCTTTTATTGATGTTAGAATGAGATGTTCTAGCACAGAAGACAGGCATCTTACAGGAGACTTCAACTCTCACTGAGGCCCAGGAGCTTTGCCACCGAAAAGCTAAGCCTGCAGATCACTCTTTAATGGATTTATTTATATGCATTCTGAATTGCCATATAAAAATATAATAAATCACTTGCCTTTTAAAGTGGGCAATGTTTCCTCGTGAATGAAGGCACTTTCTAGATCCAAAGGTCTGTACTTCACAATTTACTGCTGGACATCCTTAGGGCATTCTGCAATTCTAAAACAGGAAACAGAAAATATATTCTTGAGGTATCGTTTGAATGTTTAGGGCCCATGTTTATATGAAAAGTAACTTTTCATAAAAATAATTTTTAAATCGGTTCAATTTTAGGAAACATTTTCCATATTTCAATTGACTTATCTGAAAATTGATTTTTTTTAAGTTAGTAATATGAATTAATATTTAAAAGCTAAAGTACAGGATAATAATCTTTGGTTTTCTCCAGCTGCAAAACAGCTCATGTTGTAAAACATACAGATGATTACAGTATGTTAATGAGAGAAAAATTACTAGAACAAGTCTTTTCATAAAATATGAAAAACTGTTTTAAATTCCTGCCAGCCCATGACAAGATCACAGCATTGGCACCACAGTGATCCAACATCAGTGGTCTGTCATCAGCTCTGAAAAATACTCACTTCATGGTAACACCAGCTAAACACGAAGGAACATTTTCTTTTGATGAAAAAAATAAAAATAAAAATTGCAGTCACAATTCTATAAATTATATCTAATGTGTACTGAATGTCTTGAATTCAGTCCAGCAATAGCTTTCCATCACGGGTGGATGAACAGTGCCAGTCTGGGCAGCAGAACTTCCCCTCTCTGTCAAATTAAGAACATTCACACAGGTGTTGCAGGATTGGGACCCTCACAGGAACAATCATATGATGTAACATATTTTAGTTGATTAAATAAAACATAATCCTTTTTCTCTTATGAATAGATTTCCAGTCCCTTATGAAAGAATGGAAAAATATCTAGGACAATAAAGCTTTTCAGCCAGCAGCTAGAAAACAAAATTGTAGCACAGATGTCCAATCGTATTCTGTGCTTCCCTAAAATAACTATTTTTATGGTGTTGGGTTCTGAATTTATTAGACCTAATGACACCTGAAGTTTTCTACTTCTTTCACACACCATTACTGAGATTGTCAGAACATGCATCCATTTATAAATCTTAGAAAAATGAACATTTTTGCCCTGTACTGTTTTTCCACCAAGCCCAATGAAGTACTGCAGTGCTGATGAATCAGTTATCTTAGAGGATGAGCTCAGACCTCAACTTTTATGTTTCACAGAACAGGCTGTCAGGATTTTATGTAATTTCTATTTTTGGGACATAGCAGAGGGAGGCAGAAGAGGGAAGTGATGGAGAAACCATACCAGTGAAGCATAACACCTTGTTGAAATTAAATCCCCAAATTACTCCTGCCAATTTTGTTTTAATAATTTACAGTTACCTCAGAACGGTAGATTACATCTTACAAGTCTTGTCTCTCTAGCAGTTGGGGTAAAGAAAATAAAGCAGTAGGTGTTTCCTTCGCATTAAGTTTAATAAATATGTTAAAAACCTAACTCAGCTGAAACTGAAATTTACATTACACTGTGGGCCCTAAAGTGCTGCCACAACCTGCCTTTTATCTCCAGACATTACATTTCCTTCATCCATCTGCTGCAGCATCACGTACTTGGGACCCGAGCCGACAGCTTGCAGCTGCCAGTGATTCCATGCCTCTCAGCAGCAGCCCCTTCTTGTGTTCTCCCTTTTCTGCTGCTTGTGGCTGACAAGTGAGAGCAGTATCTTACAGCTGAATGTGGGCTAGAAATTTGAAGAAGTTTTGGCTGTGTACCTGTTCTTTGCTAGTACCGTTTATCAGTGTTTGTTTTAATTTATTTCTCTTTTGTTGGTCTGTTATTGTATTTGTATAATAACTTATGTAGTTAATATTATTAGGGTTTTGTTTTAATTTTTATGTACTTTAATTTTTTAAATGTAATCAACCCAAGCACTTTAAACAACAACGTCAATCTTGTGAAATTCCAATCAGCTTAACATTTTGCCTTTGTCTTTTTGCTTTTGCAGCTGTTTGCTTGTGATCCAACGTCTCTAGTTACAGCCCAGTTCCCATTCTTAGGCTTGTAGTCCTAGTTGGGTTGTAAATTTGGGAAGCCCAAATTTGTTCATAGGTAATTGTTCCTACAGAACAAGGAGGCAGTATTTACTACACCTGGCAGTGTGTACCTGAGGATTGCACTCACACTGCACATTTCACAGCCCTTTTTGCACTCTCTGCTAACCCGGCTGAGAATGACTGTGATGCTTTAATCTGTGGCGCAGTTATCAATGACTAATTTAAGAAAATCTCCACTTCTCCCAGGAGAATTCTCTTTTACCAAACACAAGAGTTGGCTGTCAATCAGCTGATGATACAGACATTGCACTCTTTGCCATTTTATCTGTGCTCTGTACAGTCTCAAGCATGAATAATCCTAAGAGCTGCATTTATTCTTGGCCCTTGTCTGAGCACTCGCAAGGAGGGCAATCTTTTTGCATTTTCCTTCTCTCCACTTGGGCTCCTATAAAGGGAAAAGATAATGAAGTAGGAAAAGTGCTGGTGTAAAAAAACCACACCATTTATCAAAGACACTGGATGTTTCTTAGAGGCCAGCATCTGTGGTATCCATATCAGAAAGTCACTGACTTTCTGTGTTGTTAATGCAAGGGTTATTTTTAGTTTTTTAGACTTCATATTCTCTTTGATCAATGACAAGAAACAGGGCTTTTTCCTGTTGCATCAGTTCTATTACTGAGGTGTTTCTTCTCAATTTAACATGGCACTTAATATTTAAATAGCCCTTGGGAAGCCTCAACAGACACCCTTTTAATTTCTTCCAGTTAACATGCATTACTTCAAAGAGATTGCTTGAACCTGTCCACAAGACTTATTCAGATTAACACACTCCTTTTGCATACAAGGTCAAATAACACCTATCAGGAGGTATGTGCCCACCTGATGGGACCATCTGGGCTAAGCCCACACGTCTGTACACACTAATGATTCCTTACCCTCTAGGAGGTTTGCTTGCTGGTTGTGCCTGAATGATTTGAAATGAAACGGTGCATAACTCCCATTATTCATGGTCTCAGAGTTCCTATAATTCTTTAATAATTCTGCTTCACTTGATTGTCAAGACTGCGACTATTGCATGGTGTGAAATAAATTGTGTGTGCCAGTCATGGTGATCAATTTAACAGCCTAGAGCTTCTGGTGAAGCCTGATGCAGGTGGCAACTTCGCTGTATGTAAGAATGTTAAAGAGTAAGTGACTTTTCTGTGACAGCACAGTAGGTCTGCAGGAGGAGCTGGACTGTCATACAGCTTCCTAACCCTCCGCTCACACCCAGCTGAAGTTGGTGCTCCATCCTGTAGAAAATCCTGACCCTTCTCCTAAGGGTTCCAAAGTGGCAGGAGCAAACCCTGTGCAAAGACACCTTGCAGTTCACCAGAACACCTTCCTGGCCACAGGAGATAATTTATGAATGTTTGCAACCCCTCTCTCCCCACTCCCCAAAACATCATTGGTAGATGACCATTCCTTAAAGAGGCTGAGCTTAAACATCAGCTTTCAGTAATGGTGGCCATCTTTGCAAATGTCCCAAGGCAGATTGTGTTCACACTCTAAACTGTTCCCTAGTTCTCTCTCAACTCTCCTTCTACCAGCAAAAGCAACGTCAGGGCAGCCACGTTACAGGTTCAAGTGCTTTTCCTGGAGACAATTTTCTAGCTTCAGTGGCTTTTGTTGAAGAAAAGCTAACACAAGCTCCATGACTTATCCATGACTCTTTAGGAGTAAGGTCACCATACACTGTTCTAATATGAGTGTAGGGTAGGGGGAAGAAGAAAGAGAAAAGGAAGAGATAGGTAAAGGGTTGGTTTTTCAGAGGCTTTGAATATGTATATCTGTTTGTAAATATAGAGTCTCTCTCTACCTTGTCAAAACGATACAATCGTAATAAAACTACTTAAATATTTTGTGCTAGCTTTTTAAATGGAGCAAGAGGTAGTAAAATTATTAGGCACACAATTGGGGATACATAAAAATACTTAATTTCTAGTAAAGCGTACAATACATGGTGTATGTGTACAGTTGAGTATCTGCTCTTTTTAATCATGTACATGTAATTAAGCTGCACTACCTGCAGACCTGTAAGATAAATCTCATGTTGGTTATTAAGGTTGTAACATAAGAAAACAGTATTTTCTCCTGTTAACATGTTTATATTTTACAAAAAATAAACTCCCTAGCTGATCTTGCTTCCATTCAACTTGCTTTGAACTCAGCTGGAGCCAGACTAAGGCTGCCCGTTGATGTTGGGTGTCACACAACGTGCTTCTGAACAGCAGGTACCTGTGTTCTTGCAGATGTTGCAAGGCTGCTGATGCTCACTTTTTATTTCATTTAATGGAATCATTGCATTTTAAGGAGTTCAGAGAATCTTTCACCACCTGGGCTACTTGCCTCCCAAGTGTCCTAAGGGAACACAGTTTGTGTGCAGTTCATGAGTTGTCTGGGTGGAATATACATGTGATTGTGTGACTGAGCTGTACCTGGTTAAAGCACGTCACCAACCTTGCCCAATGTTCCTGAGAACACCTAAAACTGAAGAGAATAAAAAGCAGCTAGAATTGAACTACCTTTTGCATCAGGGAACAATGAAATCCCCAAGCCCTTTAGTCTGGGATTTTTACCTGTGACCAGCAGCATGGGAAAGAGTTCTGCTAATGGTGTCTAAAATTCTGCCAGAGAATTGCAAGATTCATGCAGTCTGCTCATTTTGCTGAAGTTACTCATTAGCAAACACAACCTACTTTCTCAAAAGTGAAATAAATAAAAGGCCAGAGTTTCTTCTCTTGTCTAAATGGATTCTTGTTATTCCCTCAGAATCATTCAGAGAATCAAAATCAAACATAGCTGTCAAACTGCCTGTTAAATTCATAGCTATCATGCTGTAAGATTTACGGCACATCAGACTATCAAAGAACTGGGTTGAAAAACACTTCACATCTTACAGTGCAGATTTCCTCTCAAATCAAAAACCTTGAAGCACCTTCAAATTTGTTCCTGGGTTATTAGAACATAAGCTTTTAACTGTAGGATGGAGACAAAAATTTAAAATAAACAAGATGACAAATAAATAAATCACAAACCCATACTTTTAAAACATTTTAAAGAAATAAAGTTTAGAGTGTACATTTAAATCACTTTACGTGGGCTCCACTAGCATCACTCTCACGTCAGAAATGCACTTTCCTAGAAGCCGTATCCTGTTTACCTACGTCTCTGTTCTGTATTTTTTGGTATGAGTTAGATTAATCGTTATAAATCAGATTGGGTTGCATTCTGTGTACCACATCAACAGAGAAATGTTAAAAATATCATTTAATCTTGATTGAAAATTCAGGTATGGTGGGAGAAAATTCTAAGGTTCCTCATTTAAATACACTCAGACTTGAAACGACATTTATTAAACATTACTAAATATCTGACATGGAAGACCATGTTTCTGGAGATGTTAATTTCCTTGAATGTTTGTGCAATTTAAAAATCAAAATTTTTTGAAGAAGAAAAAAATAGGAGTACCATTTTCAAGACATATAAATACATACATATACAGTAACAGAACATTTCAATTATTTGTTCTGAAAAGTGTCCCTCTTCGCTTATTAATTTTAAATCAAATAGTAGAAGATGACTCCATCGCCTTGTTAAAGGTCACTCACCCTCACTGCATGACTCATTTGGGCGCTCTACCATGCCCTGAGAGCTTCAGGCTTTCCTCAGTCTGTAGCCACACTCCAACCTGGAGTTTGCAGGTTGCTCCAGGATGCACAGAGAAATCTATCAGGATCAGACATAATTCAAGAGGTGGAAACTAATAGACATCTTTTGCCAAATCATTGTAAGGATAAAGTAAAGAGGTCAATACTAGAATTAAATTTGGAATAAGCCACAGCGAAATGTTATCTTTTGGATTTCACTTCACACACAGATGAGAAAAAACATTCAAGTCATGTTTCAGAACAGCAAAGATGTTGAAACAGAAGGTACAGATTTCACCCAACATTGCAGACTAGACATCACAAATGCTTAGACATCAACCAAAAGGCTACTCGATAGAGACCAAATCCTACGGTCAATCACTTCAGTGTAGCTGTAAAGAAGCTCCAGATAGGTTTGCAGTTTTACAGTGGGATTAGTAATAACAGAAACTGGAATAAAGTTTCTTACAACACCCTTATATAACTTTTGGTGTGCAGAGCTGTGTTTTTTGTGCAGCTGTAAGACATGGCTTTGTGATGCAGCCAACATGCTGGAGGGAAGGGATGCCATCTAGAGGGAACTGGACAGGCTTGAGAGGTGGGCCTGTGCAAACCTCATGAAGTTCAACAAGGCCAAGTGCAAGGTTCTGCACCTGGGTCGGGGCAATTCCAAGCACAAATACAGGCTGGGTGGAGAACGGATGGAGAGCAGCCCTGAGGAGACGGACTTGGGAGTGTTGGTGGATGAGAAGTTCAACATGAGCCAACAATGTGCTCTCACAGCCCAGAAAGCCAGCCACAGCCTGGGCTGCATCAAAAGAAGCCTGGCCAGCAGGGCAAGGGAGGGGATTCTGCCCCTCTGCTCTGGTGAGACCTCACCTGCAGTACTATTTCCAGCTCTGAAGAATCCAACATAAGAAGGACATGGACCTGTTGGAATGGGTCCAGAGGAGGGCCAGGAAGATGATCAAAGGAACACCTCTCCTACGAGGACAGGCTGAGAGAGTTGGGGTTGTTCAGCCTGGAGAAGACAAGGTTCCAGGGAGACCTTGCAGCCCCTTCCAGTACCTAAAGTGGGCCTACAGAAGAGATGAGGAGGGACTCTTTATCAGGGAATGGAGCAATAGGACGAGGGAAAGCATTTTAAACTGAAAAAGAGCAGGTTTAGATTAGATATTAGGACGAAATCCTTTACTGTGAGGGTGGTGAGACACTGGAACAGGTTGCCCAGAGAAGCTGTGGCTGCCCCATCCCTGGAGGTGTTCAAGGCCAGGCTGGATGGGGCTTTGAGCAACCTGGTCTGGTGGGAGGTGTCCCTGCCCAGGGCAGGGGGGCTGGAACTCGATGATCTTTAAGGTCTCTTCCAACTCCAACCATTCTATGTGTGGAACACTGTAAGCACTGGAGAAGAACTACAAGTGGGATTATCTCTGGTCTCTGAAAACACAGTTCAGGAGCACAAACAAAATCTTATCCTTGATTTAGCCACTAATCGTATAATTTTCACTGTCCTTTATGAGGCGTTTTTCATCCTCAAAATATTTTACCAGATAACAATAAATTTCCAACTCTTAGCTTGGTGAAAGTTGTAGAAATTGGGTAAAACATACCAAAATCCCTGTGTATTTTAGATAACTACAACTTCAGCTAAATCTGGCCCCTCCTCAGCTAGAGCAGCTTATCTAGTAGGAACATTTTCACCAGCTCCTCGGCAGCTGCCTCGATGACCTATTCACTTCTGGATGCGGTTCAAAATGCAGATCTTGTAGCACATTGCTCCACTACAACCTGATCCCTTGCTATCTCCGAAACAGCTTGTCTTGCCTGGAATGCAGAGGGGCAGCTGAGGTTACTGGGGAAGTTTGTCATAACAGCCCTTTACTTTCCAAGGAATGGATTAGTTTTCTTTTGCTCCCTAGTCATTGTTAATTATTATACACTAGCAGAAAATATTAGGCAAAGCAAGGATGATGTCATTTTTTTTGTTTATTTCTCTCTTTCTTAATTCTGGATATTTCTAGTTACATTTTCAGATGAGCAAAAGTATTCTGAGGCAAGGTCATTGAAGATTTGACTCTCTTAATTCTGCAAGATGAGTATTTCAGGCAAAGACCAGTGCTGGCTAAGACACCAGAAAGGCACAGTTGCCCCTCTGAAGCTTGCCTTGAGGACAAAATAAAACCCCAAAGGTTAGCAGAATTCTTCCCCCTAACCTTTGCAACTATGATATTTTTAAATGCTCGAGCATAGGTTGCTAATTCTACTGTAGACATATATGGGGATGTTCCTGGCTGTACTGCATCACTGTGCTGCAAAGTGGTTTGAACCAACATTGAATTAAACACACTTTTGCAATAACATGCTTCAGAGTAGTGTTCAATATTTATATTAAACTCTATTTTTACCATGGCTTAGAGAAGGTGATGCATGAAAACTGAAAGCTTTATTTTATGGCAATGTTACACATTAATACTCATTTATTGATTGCAAATGCAGTTGCAGAGGATGAGGAAAGACAATCAGTTTACCATAAAGTAAGCGGTACTGCAGAACACAGACCCTGCCCAGCATTTGGTGTGGTAACAGCAGCAAATAAACATTTGCTGTTTAGTAGGTCCATTTAGTTGTCATGACACTCATAGAAGAAATGTGCCTAGAGAATGTGTTTCCTTAAATAATCTCTTGCTCTCACTCTCAGGCAGACAATCCCAACCTCCAGACACTGAGCTAAAAACAAAGCACTCCATTCACTATGCTCTATATACAATTGAACTTGATTTATCCAAAGGTATTTTACTCAAAATCCCTGTAATACAAAAATGAGCCATATAGCCCAGGCAAAACATTATTTATCTTGAAACTCTGTTATACCTGAATTCATGCAACCATTTCTTAAGGAAAAAAACCAAGATGCAAGATCCCTGGCATAATGTCAAGTGGCATTCTGCCCCCTTTTTATTGGTTTGGGTTTATTTTTTCCCCCATGGTTCTTTACAACCAGGCAATAAAGCCCAGTCAGCACGGGTTTGTGAAAGGCAGGTCCTGCTTGACAAATCTGATCTCTTTCTATGACAAGGTGTCTTGCTTAGTGGACAAGGAAAAGGCTGTGGATATTGTCTACCTGGACTTTGACCCCATTTCCCACTGCGTTCTCCTGGAGAAACTGGCTGCCCATGGCTTAGAGGGGAGAACTCTCCGCTGGCTTAAAAACTGGCTGGAGGGCTGGGCCCACAGAGTGGCCAAGAAGACCAACAGCATCCTGGCTTGTATCAGAAATGGTGTGGCCGGCAGGACTAGACAAGTATCAGAAATGGTGTGGCCAGCAGGACTAGACAAGTGATCGTCCTCCTGTACTCGGCACTGGTGAGGCTCCACCTCAAGTGCTGTGTCCAGTTTTGGGCCCTTCACTACACAAAAAAGAGTTGAGGTGCTGGAACAGGTCCAGAGAAGGGCAACAAAGCTGGTGAGGGGTCTGGAGAAAAAAAGTCTTAAAAGGAGCA